AGTGCATCATTGCATCTGCTCACACCGTCTACAACGTTCTGGCAGCCACTCGACCTGACATTATTCGCACTTTGTCCCGTTCGGACTGGCCCTTTGCCCTGTAAGTAAACATTTCCAGCTGCATACCAGGTCTCCCGTGTTTCCCCGAGTTGTCGCCTGACCAGACCTTAGTCCCAAGTTCCAGTGCCGTCCTGTTCTCTTTCATCATGATGGAAAGATCATTATCAACTTTGGTCGGACCCCCTTGATGGGCAACTCGGCTCATCCCAGACCGGCACACTTTCCATCCTTGACCGCTCGTCAAATTGAGGCTCTTGATGCTGTCGAAGCCATTGCCAAGGCTACTCAGATGGAGATTCAGACTCGCGCTGGAGACATTCACTTCATCAACAACTTGGCCATCCTTCACCGCCGCGAGGCCTTTGTCAACGGCCAAGGTGCTAATGAGAAGCGTCATCTTGTGCGCATGCGCGTGCGCAATGAGGAGCTCGGCTGGTCTATTCCCGATGCTCTCAAGCGCGAGTGGCATGATGCTTTCGACAAGCCTGCCGACCGCGTCTGGCATCTGGAGCCGATGCCTGACGCGTTCTTCCCCCTCAGAAAGTACCCCAACTGATTCTGCCCATTCTGGTCTTTGATTTTCTTGCTAGGACGTCTGATGAAGAATCACCAAAAAGGGAGAGAGAGGCGTCATGGTTGCATTATTTGGACTCTCATGTTTCGAACCCGGGAAACTGGGCTGGGCGTTTTCTTACGCGGAGTCAACCACCACATCTTCTCTTGTCCGACTTTCCTTTCGCAACATTTCACTTAACCCCCGTTGCACCACAAAAGTTTATTGTCCTTTCCTTGTCGTTTACGGTCAGAAAAGCATGGAGTCCATTGGAGTTCACACAGTAGAATCCGGCTGGGAAAAGCATGTATACAATGGTTGGGATGTTAAATCCGGCGTTGTTATAGTATAACCTAATAATCCTTGACCGTCGAAACCTGTCCGGTATGCGAAGCTTGAAATGACTTCGGCAAGTCTGGTTCTGAGACATGTGGCACTGATATCCAGGCTGTCAGTAAGTTGGCTGAGGATAGGTAACGACAGCCATTGGTCACACGACCGTGGAGCTGGAACCTTACACCCATGCAGTATCGGTCAAACAGCTAACCAATGGCTAAACATATTTCAAGACATCGGTGTGCGCATGTCAACGCGGCCAAAACGGAACCTCATTTTATATTTTCAGCTTCTGGGTCACAAAAGGCCTGCGTTCCTCCCTGGCGGATCTGACGGAGCTGCTCATCAAGATTTGCGGCAGTTCATAGAGGAACATAGCCAAAGCAGACGGTTGTCTGCATGAGATTTTTGCGTGGACTCTGGTCAGTATTTGATTGTGAAATTGCCGCATTTGGTTTCTGTCAAGTTAGTATATCTTGCTCCCTTACACTGACGATTGTGGAATCAGGAAACCAACCCCATTATGCATGGAAGAACGGCCGCTTGATCCCTCTGCGGATCCAGCATTGCTTCTTCGCCGCCTCTAATGTAGAAAGACGTGCATATGACGGTCCCGTATCCCCAGCCCCAAACGACAACCCTCTCTGGTGGACAAAAACTCAGCTGCAAGCAGGAAAAGCAACGATGGTGCGAACAGACATCAATGTCTGGGATCCTCAACGGTGAGGCCATTGATCTTTGCAAAGCAAGTATGGCGTATTGACCGGCAGATCAGCTGACCGACATCTTAGACAGGCATGGACTTCGCAGTTTGCCATGGCCGAAAGGACAATTCAAGCATCCTCACCTCTAGGGGAGGCGACAGCCGCCTAGGAGGGCCGAGGCCTTTGTCGAGACATGCAAAGAGGCACTAAGCGCTTCTATTGACAGTGTACCTTTGGCTTTTCCTGCATTTCTATTGCACTTCTCTCAGTGATCGGCAAGCAAGCGAGCGCGTGGCTGCAGCTCGTGGCGGAACGACCAGCAGCTTTTGACACCTGCAATACGCTGGTATCAGTGTCGATGGACATGCACAATTTCATCGCCTGCATGGGAATGCCGGATCGCTGGCTACAATCTATGGTCCTGGTCTGGCGCCCAGGATATAAGCGGGAGCAAATCTGCGGCGGATTTGCGTTTGCATCCCTACAAGGGAAGGGAGGAGCGAAAAGAAACAGAGGCATGCATGAGAAGTGGGCAGTGAAAGAGGAGGCCGCCATGCGGGAACTTTTGGAGTGTTTTCCAGAAGTGCATCAGCTCCGTCTCAAGGACCCCTATGCCGGGATGTTTTCTTGCTTTTGCCAAATGTCTTCAGTCCAGTCCTAGTCGCCTGGAGGACCTGGGGTTTTACGATGACGCTGGCGACCTGGTGATCCTGGGCAGACACGTTGCTTGTCACCAACAGGCAAGATACGTGTTCCATGGAGACAAGAGTCACAAGACGAGGGCAAAGTATGAGGAGTATCCGTACGAAACCCAAGGGTGTATGTCAAGGATATTTGCTTTTTGCCGGTTGGTTTGCAAAAGCCTTGCACCCACAGCAAGCTTGACTTGAGCACGAAATTGGAAATGGGGAGAAATCCGGCGATGGTCCGAGGTCGGCATGACTGGCTCGTCCTTCGCTAGCAGGCCTCGAGATGGATATGTGCAGCCAGCGCCCCCGCTTCTTGCCCCCGCTTCTTGCGTTTGTATGTTCACTGGGGGTTTTTTTTTTTTTTTTGCTTCTCTGCAATCCCAGGCCGGCCTCGACGTTTTCTTTTCTTTTTCCATCAAAGCATGGCGGCATAGCCTGTACACGACGGGGAGGTTGTCATCGGCTCCTAGCGTGGGCGATCGATCGGAGGGATAGAAACGGGGCCCATTTTGCGAGAAAGAGGAACGCTAGGATGGTCCACCTCTAAGAGCAAGAGGAGGAGAGGTCTGGTACGGAACGCCTAGGAGGAGCGGTGGAGACATTGAAGACACGTACTGTGGAGCACAAGAGGTCCAGTAATAGTTTCTTCTTCTCAACAACGCGCCAAGACGAGAAAGAAGGAGTGGAAGAAGGAAAAAGGTGACTACGAGTAACGAATAGGCTGTATGCAAGTACTGGGGTTTGTCACAAAACCCTAGGCCAAAAAGCGACTGGCCAACACCTGCGTGGAATCACTAATCAACTTTGGATGAAGCCTGTTTGGGAAGACTATCGTTGAAAGAGCTGCAGGTCGCTACAAGCCCGGCCACAAAGGTCCAAGTCAAGTGGCCACACGGTGATTGACGTTGAAAAGTTGGGACAAGGTGCGGGATAGGTAGGTAGGGCTTCCCCGCGATGCTCGCTTCGCGACTTTGGTGTCAGAATCTGTGTACGGAGTATGGTCGGATACGGAGTACTGAGCTGGAGCTGGAGAAACATGGCCTTGAGAGAAAGGGTTGGTTGGGGCGTGGGGGAGAGAGCGGACGACGACCATGAAGAAGGAAAAAGCAAGCATGAGCGACGGGTGTTGCGATTGTTTGGTGGTATTCGTAGTTGCGTGGATGGATGGAGATTGCAGATTGACGTCGGTTCGTCAACGGCTGAAAGTGCCCGGCCTGGGAATGCGCTGACAGCGATGGGCTACAGGGCTGTCCCGGGGATGCTTCCGCGGATTCGGCGGCAGTCCAGTCCAGTCCAGTCCAGCGTAGGTCAAAGTGAGGTAAGTTAGGTAGGTAGGGCAAGGTAGGAATACCCGCAGACTCTCACGATTGAATTCTAAGGTAGGATACTACAACTACCTGGGAGTGCCATGGGAGGTCAAGTCGACGTGTACCTACCTCATCACGTGCCAAGGTAAGGTAAGTAGGTAGGAATCCTCTCGGATTGAGATTCATCATCCAAGAGCCACCTCACTGAGAGAGTCTCAGGGCACCTACCTCACCTTAAGGTACCTTACCTAAGGTACTATGTATGTACTTCGTAGCACAAGCCATGGAAAGAGCCATCTGCCGGAGCAGCCAGACCAGGCCATATCATTGGCTGTTGGCTGTGCGTCGTCGGGACCGGATCCGCCTTCCCGGTTGAGCTAAGCCGCTAAGGTAAGCTGCCGATGGGGCCACGCATCGTCGAATGAGAAGGCGCCGCTGCCAACGACAGCTGCCCCCTAACCGCGAGTCTCCCTACCTTGAGCTCCTCCTGGCCGCCTCAGACGACACCTTCCCATCGCGACGTTATCAAACCTTACCTTACGGATACCTGACCTTACAGCAAGAAGGCAACTGGACGGTCTTGCACACACGACACACATCCGGCCGCCCTTTGTTTGCTTCTTCGCTTTCGCCCGTCCTTCCCGCCCTTCCCGCTCTGCAAAGTTGCCTTTTCCTCCCATCGCACTGACCATCCAGGTGGCCAATTGGGGAATCACGGACGTTGCTCCCGACGCCTGGGGATCGACTGCCCGCCGCATGTGTGTCGAAGAAGATCCCTTCTTTCCTGCATCTGCACCCGTCATACCTTACTGCTGCACCTCACAATCAGTCCATCCAACCGCCTTCAGGCACACACGTTTCACTCTGCATCGTCGTCTCGCCTACGCCAAATTCGCCAACCTCGGTTTGCCCGCCTGATAGTGCCGCTTTGAGAGCTGCATGCCCATCCTAGGCAACATCCACTTCAAGAAACAAGCGCTCCATCCATGGACTTGCACCCCCGAGTGTGAAACGAATCCTGCTTTGACGTACCTTACCTTATTCTACTTTGCCTATTCCACGCCCCCCCTCTTTTGCCTACCTACTAGGCTACCTTACCTGCGTACGAGCTCTGCGTCCCGTTGGTGTCTCGGTGCAACCTCCGGCAGTTTGTGACTGGACATCGCTAGCTGCAGCTTCCCAAGCCAAGCAGTGTCGTGCATCGCCTGCAAGAAAGGCCTTCAGCGGTCCGTCAACTCCGAAGGGGGTGACTGACCTCCTTTCAAGCGTCGGATCCCTCCCGCCACTCTCCCTCTCTCTCATTGAGCATTGCGCAAATCTCGGTCCTCCCCTGAGACTTATTGCAGCAACCATGGCACCCCGCCAGGGCGGCTATCTCCGCGTTCCGGGACAGGAAGACGACTTTTCCCGAAAGCAGCCTCGTCGCAGCCGTTCCGGTTCCTCCGGCCGGAGGCAAAAGGCTCTGCCCAGCGAGAAGCCTCTCCCGGCCCTCCCGCCGCCGACGCCGACGTCCGGGGCCACGTTTGTCGATATTGATCTCCACGGTGACGGTTCTCACAATTCGCCCAGCAACCGTCGTCGCGCCACCATTGCTATCGCGCTCGCCCTGGCCTTCGTGGGTTGTATGCTCGCGTTCGTGGTTCTGGGCTTCGCCTGGGACAATGGCGGCGTGAGACGGGGCCCGAATGCGTTGGACGGTTTGAAGAACCTCGAGGACTGCCCGTGTAGGCCGGACGACGATGTGCCGCAGTACTTCAGGACGAGTCCGGAGTTGTGGGCTGGCCCGACGGCGACTGGTAAGCCTGCCTTTATGGCGCAAACGAGAGTTATCCCGACGGGCACCTTTGTGCCGAATGCGCCGCTGCAGACGGATATCCCTATCGAGGGAATGGGAAGCAAGAATGAGAGCATTTTTAACATGATGGGGTAAGTCTCGTTCCCTGTACGTGGTCAGGGGAGGAATAGTGATTGCTCAACCCTCGCTCGCTTAGGTATCTTACGCCGTATCAACCGAGTCCTGGCTTTGGTGTAGAGGAATACGCGCTGCCAGAAGGAGCCGATATCGTCCAAGTTCAGGTAAGCCCAAACAGAGCTGGCCAAGGGTGGACTTCAGTGGCTGCTTTTTAGGACACGATGGAAAATGCTCAGCCTGGCTGACCTGCGGTAGATGCTCTCTCGCCACGGATCTAGATATCCCACCACGGGATCCAATGTAGCCGATTTCGGGCAGCGCATCGCAAAGGCTGGCAAGAAGTTGAATGCCAAGGGTGCTTTGAAGTTCTTGAACAACTGGAAGTATCAGTTGGGACACGAGATCCTGGTTCCGAAAGGTTGGTTTTGAGTACTACCTTGTCTGTGTACGAAATTGCTAACCTTCCCATCCGCAGGACGTCAAGAGCTGTTCGACTCTGGTGGGTAGCCTGATACTAGACAGCTCACGCAAACGCTTCTAGCATCGATATACTAACTGGCGCTTAGGTATTTTGCACTCTTACATGTATTCGTCGCTGTATAATCCGAACAGCAAGATCATTGTGCGAACAACAGTACGTCGGGAGTGATTACAACTAGTCTTTTGATACTCGTGACTAACACGCTTGCAGACGCAAGATAGAATGCTGAAGTCGGCCGAGTACTGGCTGGCGGGTTTCTTTGGTCTTGAATGGTAAAGTGCTTCACTTGGCTTGTGTGAAGCTCACAACTGACTTGTACATCAGGACAAACAATGCCACCATCGAGGTCATCATTGAGCAAGATAGGGCAAACAACTCGCTCGCCGGCTACTTGAACTGCCCCAACGCCCGCAAGCAAAATGGAGGCGACGATGCTGCCAAGGTTTGGATCTCAAACTACCTTGCTAACGGTGAGCTTATCTGCTGCTGTTCTACTTACGTAGTCGTACATGCTGCTGACAATTCTTTCTAGCCACTGCTCGGTTGAAAGATCTGGCGGGTGGATATGACTGGACCATCGATGACACCTATGCGGCTCAGACCATGTGTCCGTACGAGACGGTGAGAACTTGCTTGCGGGATACGAAACTGAGTTGCCTTTGACTAACCTTGAACCAGGTGGCCTACGGCTTCAGCGTCTTTTGCGACTTGTTCACTTACGAAGAATGGGTTGGCTTCTCGTACTCCGTCGACCTCATGTTCGCCGGCAACAACGCGTTCCAGAACCCCACGGGTGTAAGTACATACTTCACACTCTGCCAAATGACACGGTATTAACAAGGCTGCAGCGCGCTGTCGGTATCGGCTATCAACAAGAGGTCATTGCGCGCCTCCAAAACCACACTCTGGGCTACTCTGGGTCTCAGATCAACGTGACACTAGACAATAACACGGTCACGTTCCCTCTCAATCAAAGCCTCTACTTTGACTTCTCCCACGACACCAACATTGCCTCCATCCTAACGGCGTTTGGCCTGAAGCAGTTCGCACAACTCCTCCAACCAACGGAGTACCCGGGCCCGCACAACTTCACCGTCTCGCACATCACACCCTTTGGCGCCCGACTCGACATTGAGGTCATCAAGACGCCCAAGCCGTTCAAGGCCGACCGTTCCGGGTACGAGAAGGACGGCGGGGAGACAAAGTACATTCACTTTGTCCTGAACCAGAGGACCGTGCCGCTAGGCTGGAGTTTCCCCGATTGCGATGTCACGAGATTAGACGGCTGGTGCGAGCTCGAAACGTTTTTGAACGTGCAGCAGGGCATGCCTGAGCTGGCAGCCTATGATAGGGCTTGTCATGGAGACATTGAGACCGTTCCGTATGGGACGGTGTATGATGGCCGGCCCTTGTGAGAGGGTAGGGCCTTGTGACGATAGTGTGTTGTCGAACTGTGCTTGTGTAAATATCTTTTATTCTTTTGTTCGACGGTGAAATTGCGCCTGTTTACTGTAGGGACTGTAGGCGGTGTTTGATTAATTTATTTGGGTGGCTTTTGCAAATTCCATGCGTCTCAGTATCCTCAACTGTGGAAGTGTGCGAACACATCGCCACGGACTCGAGCACAATATTGTGCTGCCAACACCATATCTTGATCGTTATCTTCAGGTCATTAGATTACTCTATCGTTGGTATCCAAGGCTTTAACTCTTCAAAGAAGTTTCCTATGATATGATGAAGGAGCCGTCGCAACATATAAGGGAGAAGAAACTCAATCCTGCGACAACCCAACACAGCATCTGCCCTTTCCGGCATGTAGAGAAAGGTCGACCAGCACCACTTGGGTCTCGACCTGTGAAAATGGTTCCATAAATGGTTGAATACAAAACTGTACGAATTTGGAATCCCCGGATGCTCTTGTCGTTCTCTAGGTGAAGACGAGGCACAACTGACTACATCTCAATCCCACTCCAGTTCCACACAGAAAAATACCCTTATCAATGACAAATCGGAAACCAAAATATCCCCTTCGCATGTAAGAAGTACATCGTAACTCCTAACAGGACAATCCTAATCGTGTCATTCGCAGTGTTGACCCCGTTGTCTCTGCCGTCATCTACTCTCTACCTGGCACAAACCACCACATACGACCATACCCATTGGAAAACTCGGGATCCCGTCCGCTCTCCCATAGATAAGCCAATGAGGGCCGGATTAGTAGTTGGGTCGGTGACGACCAGCGAATACCTGGTGTTGTATGTTTTTCTTGATGATCTTTTTGGTGTTTTGGTGGATTTCTGGTGGGTGTGGGTGGGTTCTGGATGGATGGTGTCGGGGTGACGTTGACGCTGAACTTAGGGATGGAACGGCGGATGAGCGGGGGCAAAAAAAAAAAAAAAAAAAAAAAGAGTCGTAGGCCATGGGTTTGTGTTCTCGGGTTTGATTATAATAACCAACTATTCTCTTATAAACATTGTGGTCTGAGGTGCAAGCAGGACAATGTTTGTTCTTACAGTATGTAGATTCGCGACAATGGCAATGAGGGGATTCATGTGCGGGCAGCAGGTAACGAGACACATACATTATCAGGAAATATCCGGAAGAGACTAACATGTCATCACTCTGTATACTTACAGGATCCTGATACTGCTTTGAATCAAAGAGACGTGTATGCTAGAGTACACTACTAAAGGGCAATTGCATATATAGAAACTCCCAAGGGGGAGCCCATTTTCTGCGTACTTGCGTGCCAACAAATGAACAACTATTCAAGGGGGCTCAAGGTGGCTAGTTTGTATCGTTTTGAAATTTTGTAACATTAAACTGCAAGACGCAAACTTGCTCTCCCCGCAGGGTGATATATACCGTCATCAACATCTTCTGTGTGCCTAGTATCATATCTGCACCGACTTTTTTCTTTCTTCAATAAAATTTCCCACCTAGGGTATCAAAAAATCGCTATATATCTTGTTTCCATCCTAGAACAGTTCCTCATTTCTCTCAATCACTCGAGGTGCTGGGGCTCTTGGGGTCCTCCGCCTCCTCTTCAATAAGACCCCTGCCCTCGCTGTTAGCAATGGCGCTCTGCAACGCGCTCGTCAGGTCAACGTGGAACAGCGGCCTGTTGAGACCGTGGACGACGACGCCCTTCCTCCTGGGGCCGCCGCCAATGTTGCCGACGCCGCCCTTCCTCGAGCCCGACGACACAGGGTCGATCTGGTCGTACGCGCCGCCATCCTTGCCCAAGGCCTCCTCGTCAATGGTCCTCGCGGCCCGCGCGTGCGTGGAAAGTTCCTTCTCGTTGGCCTCCTTCTCCGCCACCGCGGCCGCCGACTCGGAGCCGCCAATCTCGGCGACGCTGAAGATGGACTTCCACTGGTGCTGCGTGCCGTCGCTGCGGTCGACGGGGTAGCCGAAGCCGGCGGCGACGAGGGCCCTCTTGGTCCACCGGTTGTTGATGCAGGCAATGTGCCAATTCACCTTGTCGGGGGACGCGTAACGGTCGAGCTGGTTGCGAACATCAATGAGCTGCTGGATCGACGTCAGGTCGACGTTGTTGACGGAGCTGAAATCGAGAATGATGGCCTTGAGCGTCGGCCTGTTCTCCTCCTCGTGCATCTGGGCCTGCGCCTTCTTGGCCTTGCGGGACGGGCCCGGGTCGTTCCAGGGGCGGTCACCCAATCTTCCGTACGACTGCAAGTTTGTGCGGCGCGTCCGGGCAAAGATGTAGTCAGTCAGATACTCGAGGGAGTGGCTGGCGTTCGGGTAATTGAAGCCCTCGGAGAAGCGGTAGATGAAGATTCCGGGGTATGGCTCGTCCAAGGAGACCTCGGGGTTGGATCCGTCACCGTGATCGATGGGCAGGAAAACGTTGCGGGCGGCGTTGTCGCTGGCGTTGAAGGTGCCGTACTCGCCAATAACTTGTCGGTGGTCCTCGCCAATGACGTGGTCACCAACGACAGAGTGAATCTTGACCTTTCCGAGGAAGCGTCCCTGGCCGCGCAGAATGCGCCAGAGGAGCAGCACAGCAGAGATGCAGATCGTGGCGTAAATTCCGTTCTCGATGGAGGAGAAAATGGTGACAAAGACACCGATAAAGAAGATGACGACTTCGAGGGGCGAGACACGCCAGAACTGGTAAACGGTGTTGGGCGGCGTAATAAGATCACCAACAGCATGGATGATGACTGCAGCCAGTGACGCGCTGGAGATATAGAAGAACACAGCCGTGAGGGCGTAGATGGCAAGCAAGACAATAAGGCCAGTGATAACACCAGCGAAGGGAGTTCTGACACCGGCCTTGGACTTGATAGCGGTACGACTGAACGAACCCGTAGAGGGGTAACCGCCAAGGAAAGGTGCGATGACGTTGGTCACACCAATGGCAACGAACTCTTGGGAAGGGTTGATGGTGTAGTTGTTGACACGACCAAAGGACTTTGAAATAGCGACGTGCTCGATGACCAGTACAATAACGCTGGCAGGCAGGAAGGGCAAGAAAGCGCTGATGAGGTCGGTGTCAATCTTCGGGGCGCCAGCGTTCTGGAAACCTTTTGTTTTGGTTAGCTTTTAGCATACTAGCCGAGTGGAAAATGTACTAACCTCTTGGAACTTCTCCCAAAATCTTGAACAGCGGGTTCGACCGTCTGTTCATGTTGACCAACCAACTGATCATGGTATAGAGAAGGATGACGAAGACTGTTCGTAGGGTTGACAGGAAGAAGAAGAGCTTCGACTTCTGAGGGTACTTCTTGGCCAGGCTAGTGAAGATGAATCGCAGAAGGTAGAGCATGGTGAGGGCGGTCAGGCCCATGGCAGCATCCATCTTTGTCTTGGGAAGGGCCTTTAGGGTGTTGATGAAGACCAGGTAAGTAGCCTCTCTTGTGTTGACGCCCTTGATGCCCAGCAACGTGACCAGCTGGCCAACAGCAATGCTGATGGCAGAACCAGTCATGAAGGCTGACAGAGAAGTCAAAGAGATTAAGTTGACAACCCATCCCATGCGAATCAATCCGATGAAGAGAATGATGGCACCGGCAATGATGGCTAGGGCAGACGCAATCTGGTGACCTTCGTATTGGGGGAAGTCTGCCTGGACATCGGTAATGAGGTTACCAACGACAGTGGACATAACAGCAACGGGCTACCAGTCTGTTAGCAGAGTATCAAGGCGGTTTAGAGGGGATTCACATACGCCGATGGTGATATCCTTGGATGTAGCGAAGAACCAGTAGATAATGACACCCATGAAGGATGAGTAGAGACCGAATTGGGGATCAAGCTTTGCGAGCAAAGCGTAAGCCATACCCTGAGGTACCACAACAGCGCCTACAGTGACACCGGCGACCAAGTCACCGAGGAACCACTGCAGGTTGTAGTGACCAATCCAGTTAAGGAAGGGGAAGAGAGAGCGGATATATGCGAGGACTTCGTGGCCGTCGGGAAGGAGTTCGAGGAGCCACTCAGCTGTTGTTGGCTCCTCCTCAACGAACGTGTCTGAGGACTGAACAGAGAAGACAGACTCGCCGCGCAACATCTCTTCATTCTCGGGCTTCTCGAGCTTGATGCCCAAGACCTTGGCCAGGCCATGGCCAATTTTGGTGCTTGTGCTCGACATAGTGGTTGATCGGACCGGAAACCGGCTGAGACTCTGAAGAATTACTTGTCGAGCTCTTGACTACAGAGACGAGGAGCACACAGGACCTCGCTCCTTTTTTGGCGAAGATGTCCCAAGTCTATATAGGAGTCACCGGGGGTGGTCACCGTGCCACACTCCTGGGTCCACGGGGGTCGCCGTGGGATTTGGCGGTCGGGAGTGGGTGGCAGGAATGGGAACCGGGGTGCGTAGTGGGCAGAAGCTAATGGTGCAAGACGTGACTAGAACGCTTCCAGTCCTCGAAGCTCGACGGGGGTGGCGATTTGAGGCAGGAGGTGCGAAATTGTCGCTACTTGACAGCCCTTGTAAAGTTGCGCAATCGGTCAAAGGGGCATTAATTGGTCGAGACAACGATGGCCGACTCAACGATGAGCGAGAGAGTTCCCGACACAGGAAATAGGCCGTAATTTGGCGGCGTGCGAAAATGGCGACAGAAGCGCTTGTGGCTGACAAGAAGGGATGAGAGACAACAACCCTTCACATAATAGTGGCGACAAGATATCTGTATCGTGTGGCCTGAGTGGTCTGGAGCGACCTGGTCGGGTTGTGCGACTGAAACAGAAGCTCTTCAAATCTTTCGGAAGCTCTTCGAAGCTCTTCAAAGACTCTCAGAAGCTCTTCAACTTAGGCTGAGGAAGGCAGACAGACAAGCTTTTAATTGACTTCAGAAACTTCGGTAGTGGAGTGCCAAGGGAGGCTCTTAAGGCATTCCTGCTTGACAGAACGATGGATCTCGTGGGCCAAGAGATGTGGCACCGGGATGACGGCGGCAGCCAAGAAATGAGCGTTGCAGAAGAGCCGAGGAGAAGACGACGGCGAGAGAGAGACACTCGAGAGAGAGAGGGAAAAACTCTGACAGGGGGTGTATGAATCCCTCAATGGCGCGGATTTAATAGCAACAATTGTTGGTGTCAGCAGAAGCTCTTTGTGGTGGTAGTATCCGCACTCCTCCCGCGATGTCGAAACCGGGGCGATGTCGCCATCGAGTCTTTGCCATTCAAAGCTTAGTGGAGACGGGCGATGGAGTCGGTACATGCTGCGAGCCCAATTATCTTATACCCACCAGACAAGGGACCTGCGTTCTCTTGCTGATTTGATATCGAATTGGTAATATCAGACGGGCTCGTCCGTACAAAATTCAATAAGCGCCATTGGATGAAGTACTCTATATGCATCATACGGCGTATTCAGCTGTGATGAAGTGGAGGAACGGACCATGCACAGGATGCGGTCTCGGAGAAAACTGTTGCGTGGTTTCTCGTGCTCTCTCAAGCCTCAACTTGGCTCACCACGCGGCCTGTCAGAGATACAGGAGCACGAGGGGAAAGCTCGGGTTTCCTGTGGCCAGGCTGAAGAAATTGGAGAATGCCAATGCTCATGTGTCGTCAGTCATGGAGCCGGGCGAAGCGCTGCCTTGTTGACAGACATGATAAACTGGAGCCGATGAAAAATCAGAGCTGACTGTCGGGTGAGGGACAATGCCCAAATGCCAAAGTGTTCCCAGTTGTGCAACACATGTTTCCACGGAGAGGGGACGAGTATCCAAAGAACTACCGCATTTGGGACGGTACCTAGTGCGCTGACCAATGGGATTCAGCTTCTGCAACTTGGCGATGGTGCAATAGTACCCTTGTTTGAGGTGATGATGGAGTGGGGCAGATGGCTGCGGAGATGCTCAACCTGGTTGGACCCTTTTGAGATTCTTCGCCTTGACTGGTTGCTTGTCTCGCAAAGTGTGGTGCGAAGCTTTTGAACGAGATGAGAAGCTGGGTTGGTCCTTGACTGATTCGGACCAGAATCTCAGATGGCCATCATTGTCGGGACGTGTGATGCTGCACTCTTCCTCGTGGTCATTGCACGTGCGAATCAGACCATCGACAATGGCGGCAAACTGCGAGATGCTCAAGAGTCTGGAGAGACAGGGGATGCTCGGCCCCAGGCGGAAGACGATGGCAAGATGGATTCATGGAATGGGGTTCCGGGATAATCTGCTGCATTGTGCGGGCAGAATCCGTAGTCGCCTGGTCTTCCGGATGCTAGAGACTGGAGACTGGAGTTGCCCATTGCTAAGAGGATCCGTAAAGCGGATGTGGTTACGGATGGCCAACGTCATGGGCCAGCTTGGACCAACAGCTAAGGACGCACCCATGACGCCAAGCTTGCGACAGCAGAATGCTGACATAAGGAAGGACGCTCAGCTCGGATAATCGACGGGGGATGTAAATCTAGGCTTAACGATTTTCCGCAACCGGCTCGGAACAGCTGCGCCGACGGTTCCGGAAGGGTCCCGTGTGGGTTCGACCTGCACGCTGGGGCTCAAAGAGGAAGTTCAAGATTAAGTCAGCTAACCTTGCACAGTACCTAGGTCGTTTTCAGTTGCTTGCCCCGGTTTTCCAGGTACCAGCCTCGATGATCAATGTTCTTGCCTTCTTAACGGCTGTCTCGTTGAAAGTTTGGAGTCATTGCTGTGAATTGGACAAATTTCAGGGAAGTGGATTGCATGCCATACGGAGGTCTCACACTTATAGCTGGCGATGCTGGCCTAGAACTCCTAACATGAGCAACATGAAAGCATTGGAATTGATCATTCAGCGCTGGAATCGGTGAGCTGCTGGTCGCCAGCGATTCTTGGTACGCGAAAAAACACGGGGCAATTGGCCGACGCGAGTCCTCAACAGCCCCTCTCTCCCCGGGCAACAAGTCGCTTTGCCTTAGTCAGATAACAAACTCCAAGCCGCCAACACCTGCAATGCTTGTCATCTACACCACCGAGTCTGCAATCACCAACCTCCTCCTCCCCGCTCAGGGCCAAAAATAGCAGCCCACGAGGTGTTGGTCACCTCGCTACGCTTGTTGTCTTGCCCCTTTTTTCCCTTCTAGCGGTTCTTGATACCGTGCCGTGCCAATTTTTCAGAATACTCTTCCAATAATTCACCATATATTCCCATTGTCCCTCAATTTAGTGAATGTAGCTGGTTCCGTCTTCCAGTCGCAAAGATGCCGCCGAGTCCTCCAAGAGATACTCTCGCCCATCCGGCGCACAACTTAGCACATTCGCAAGCCAAAACCACCGAATTGCTCCCACCACCGTCGCCGCGTACCCATCGCCTTCGCAAACTGCAATCCGCACACAACCTTGGCTCCAAGGCCGCCCTCCAGCTTCAACCCCTTCATCAACCCTCTTTGATATCGCAGCAACGCTTGACGCAAATCACGCAACGGAATATCTCTCCTACACGACGCGACCCGAGCTCTTCTTCCAACGTGGCGCGACACACTCGAGGACGATCGAATAGCGATGCGCCGGCGCCCGTCATCCATCACATAAATGCCCTAGCTACAGGCAAGCGCAGCATGATGGGCATCAGCCCGAAATACGCGACCATGTCTCTACAACAACTCATTAAAGAGGGTCCCCCCGAGGGAGAGACAATTGAGGCTTTAGGCATGGCTCGCCGCAAAATCTTAAGCGAGGGCATCAAGAGTGATAGCGATGGCATGGTAAACATCATCCTTCATGCCCACCAAGCCTGTAGACCAATGCTGACTTATTGCCACGCAGTCAACCTTACGTATATACGTCTGGCTCATCCTGCTGGATACCCCCGTTCTCCCAACCGATGACTACTTGGGCCTGATTCACCGCGGAGCCTCCCCTGCCTACTCCAAGATTCGCAACGATACCTTTCGAACCCTTACGACCGATCCTTTGTTCAGGAGACGTGTGAGCGAGGCCAGCCTGATTCGCCTCCTCAACGCCGTGGCCTGGCGTCTACACGATGCGCGAGAGGAGCAGCGCAGGGAGCGACCCAGCACTGGAAGAAGCTCCATATCGCAGGACAGTTCGACATCGACGTCGACAGCCACAGCCTACTCGCAAGATCCCGCCTTTTCGCCGGGTGCCAGAAACCGTGCCAGGGCACTCACCTTGACGACAGAAGGTTCCGAATCCAGCCATGCGGCGGAGCCAGGAACATACGTGCAAGGAATGAACGTGCTGGCCGCGCCTTTCCTGTACGCAGCAAGGAGCGAATCCGAGGCCTTTATCGCGTTTTACACACTGCTCACACGCGAATGCCCTGGCTACATCCGCGGCGCTATGGACGGCGTACACAAGGGTCTGGCGCTGGTTGACAAGGTCCTTGCCACAGTCGACTCGAAGCTCAGCGGCTACCTGCACTCCAAAGGTCTCACGGCTGAGATCTACGCTTTCCCCTCGGTTTTAACCCTGTGTGCCTGTACGCCTCCGCTTCCCGAGGTTCTCAGACTGTGGGACTTTCTCTTTGCCTACGGGCCTCATCTGAATATTCTCTGTATTGTAGCCCAGTTAATGGGCATGCGGGATCAGCTCATGAGCTCTCCAAGGTACATTTACCGCACCCTCTAGAAGTGGACTATGCATGCTAATAATTTACCAGCCCTAATAAGCTGCTACGTTCATTCCCTTCGCTGCAGGCCGATAAGGTCATTGAGCGGACGCTGTGGATCATAGAAAGAATCCCGGACGACACCTACGTGGCCATAGTTGCGCACGCCCACTGAATGCGTGGACATTATGAATAATGTTAGACAAGAAGAGCACGAAGAGCACCGCCTCACGAGGAGGTAGCGAGGACTCAACAAAAGGAAGGGGCGATGTCTGATGAATGTTTGAACGTTGAACGACGTGTACTTGTACGATGAGAAGACTTTTAACGACTTGACGATTGAAGCAAAAACATGGGAAATGCGATGGGAGCTTCATGATAGAGCGCCATGGGTGGTGGTCTACGGGAAAGGATGGCATAGCTCCATGAGATATACGGGGAAAAGAACAGTACACTCGCATTGGGTGGCAAACTTAATTGATGCTTATCGTTGTAATTATTATCACTTGCCGTCTATTTCGCTGCGAAGAGAATGAGTCGTCAACTGACTTGAGTATCCCATCTGCCTTTGATACTCCTCTCTGTGACATGGCGGCAGGCAACCCCGTACTCGTAGAGAAGACAGCTCTTTTCTTCACTTTGGTCTCTTCCATCACGATACATTTGCGTCAATCGCGGCACTGGTGTACTCTTTGAGTAAAGAAAAACTTAATCTCATGACATTACTTTTAGATCGGGACGAGTATGCAGGAGCTTAGGCTGAGAGAATCTAGATTATAGAGCGGAGTGGAACTCATAAAACCGATTACGCGGAGAGAGGGAGAGGGTAGGAGGTACGGCTAGTTATTGTCAAGAACTACCACAGAAACGTCGGCTATGTGCAGAGAACATAACGTCTATACCTATCCATGCGAAGTTGCGGTTGGCCTTTCGTCCTATTCCCAGCAATCTAGTTGACTTGGGCATAATTGGACTTGTCATCTGTGTCATAGCCTATGTAGCGTGACAGTAGAACAGGCCTCGGATGTCTTCCGTCATGTCGAGTGGATTGCTAAAAATCCTGAAGTTTATATACCTCGACAAGCCCGGTGTATTCCAATTCAAGTGCTTCGCATGCTGTGTCTCCAATTGTCTCCGCCCATTCTCCATCGAATCCATAGACATGAGTTCATAGTAGTTGCGAATGCTGTTCTTTACCGGCAACTTTATCAAATGGCGCGGCCAGGCAACCCTTCTATGCCTAACTCATTGCTGTGAGTCTGTTTTAGTCACAAGCAGATAATGCTCTACACGACTATTGAAAACTCGGACGCCGTTTGGGTAGATCATACCTGGTGACAATGAGAACATGTAAACAACAGAGCGTAATCTGTAAATCATGATAGTAAGGGATTGTAACACATCGAAGTCCTAGTTGTTTCTCATGATGACATTGTTTGAAGCACAAAACAATTTTCATATATGACCGTCACGGCGGAGCAGATTTTATGAACCTCTTACGAAACCATAACCTTGGAAGATGTATTCATTTCCTGAAAATTGTTTTTGGGCTCTCCTCAACTTAACAATAATGCAACAAGGCAGAGACTCCACGGACAAAGATAGTTCGTCACTGGGTAAGATATCCAACAGCAAACATTCACAGATGCACCACTTGAGGCAGCCTATAAAGGCCATTCAGCAATTTGCAAGTCGTACGCAAGCCTTTCTTAAACGATGTACTACGAGGCGGTTCTGACTTGGAAGTAGTAGTTTCACATTGGGCTTGAATGCAAACCTGATGTGGAGGCAAACCTATAGATTTCGTGTAGTTGATATGTGTAGTACCGTACAAGTGACCATCCTATACCTAGTACACTGAATTGAGGCTTTGAATATCAACACTGGTTTCCAAAGTCGCCGCATCAACCACGCGTATGTATGTACCTTGATAGACATCTCTTATTTTCTGCCTGAACATACGTTCGCAACTCACACATTGTGGCCATGCACCCGCGTCATTCAGCCAGAAAGCCTTCCTAGCTTACCAGAGAATAACATCTCTCCAAGGATCCAAGTTACTACATTTGGGTTCTGCTTTTGCCTGGAATCCGAACAGGTGTTAGGTCACGAATTTCGCAGAATTTGAGAGGCATACAAGACTTCCACAAATTCAATGAAGGGACTTCAGCGTCCCTCTGGGCTAATTTGTACACCTTATTTGGTACCTTTTCTCCAAACGTACACTGAAGATGACGGGATGGATACTCCCAGTGACAGTGTAGAGCCGAAGCACTTCTTTCAAGGAGCAAGCTAGAGAAGGGAATACAGAGTAATGCTCATTATCCCTCCTGTTAGACTCCCACGACCAAAGGCAAGAATTTACTCTACACGGGCAACAGCTCGATGTTCAAGTTTGTCAAGTCTTACCATCACCAACATTGGTGGCTGGCGATTGACTCGGCTGCAATACGGATTTAGATGTCATCAACCTCCAGCGGCTCTCCTATACGCCATTGCCACCCTAGAGGTATTTTCAGTGTCTTTACTGGGACGCAAGTCTGCTCACCATGAGTTTTTCTTGGCCTAACTGGGTCAGCTCAACACACAAAGTAGACTGCGCTTCAGCAAAGCGCAGCGACTCTGTCATGGGCATTCGCCGAGGCAGGGACACAACCGGAAATTGCAACAGAAACAAGTGATGAGTAATAGGCAGAAGCAGGCAATTTACAAAATCACAAAGCCAATCTACAAACTTGCGACCTGCCGAGACATATTGCTCGACCGCTAAGGCCTCAGCCAGCCTCACCGCAGCAAGTGCGGAATCGGGACTAGTCTATGAGGAAATCAGGCGACTCGATTCGCTCAGCAGAGTACTCAACTGCCGTCATTGGATTGCCAAAGGCATCCAGTCACCTTGTCGTCGGCCAGGTCGCGCGGCTTTCGTTCGTGACAGGAACACCTCCGTGAAAGATGACGTAGTCAGCTTTCGAATAGGCTGTTTCCCCCATGTAAGCATGAAATGTGGCGAGGCTGGAGTACCTCAGCTGAAGAGTGCGGGCTGCGACTATGATCAACCTGAGAGTGTCAACGCTGTGGCAAGCAGGCCCGGCAGGCAAGTCAAGACCAGGTCGTTCGCGACGATGATTGCCTAGTAGTTAATCTCGTGGCATCTTGATCAAAACTGGCACCGCGGTTGGCGCATCGAGGGGCGCATCATCACGGATGTTGTTGTCCCCGCAACAGGGTCCCCCGCGCCATCGAGCCAGGCGATTGATGACGATGAGCATGGGAGAGCCAGGCCTGTCTGGACTTGGAAGGGCTCAGGTGAGTGGTACTGTCCTGTCAAGGTCCTAAGCAGCGAGGGATCAGCGGCGCAAAGTGACAGCGGCCAATGGGTGCTGACAGGCAGGGGATGAAATGAGCTCTGGCTAGGCCGTGGCTCAGCTGACGCAGCGTTTTGGGGCCATCAGTCAGCGGAGAACTCACAATCATCACACCAGAGGCTGAGGAAGAATCAAAAAGGAGGAATGGCAGCGGAAAACGACGAATTAGAGTCGCAAGAGGCCTGCGTAAAACCACGGCGGCTTCTCTCTTCCCACGGCGTGCTGGTGTGGGATTGGCTGCTTTCCCAACACATCGCGGGGCCCGGACGTCGTCGTCATAAGGAACACGATCCAACAAGAGGGCGAGAGGGGGTAATACCGCGTGGTAATGTAGGGTCTGGCGGCGAAGGTGAGGGATAGATTAGGCCAATGATCTCATGGTTCGACAGTAAGTGATCGCGGGATCGAAGGTGCGGAACGTTGGATGCAACTTTGGCTGCCGTAGGAAATGCTCCGCGGCGACGGTCATGTCTGCTTTGTCGATTTTGTGTCTGTTTGGATAGTTCAGCCACATTTGGGTAGCATCGCCTGTATGAAGTGCCACCCAAATGATTCCCAGTTCAGGTGCCTCGCGAGCTCCAGGGGTTACAAAATAGGCACTAGTACGGGAAGCTAGAGAATTCATGGCCGAATAGGGACGGACCTGGCTCCGAGGTGATTCGTCACGGGTTAATAGCTGACCAAAGCTGAAGTATGTAATACCCAAGGCGACGCCGTTGATGGTTTGCGACGGAGTCGTTTCTATCCCTTCATTGGCCGATGACTGACTCGTTCCTTGCCTGTTTTGCCTGGGCAGAAAGTTGGCAACCATGGCCGCGGGATTCCGGTTCCTGAGAAAAAGGGTGATTATCGAGATCATGGAATGATCTCAATACCGCCAAAGGGGATGACCGGCGACGGTACAAAGAAGAGCGCCGCCTTTTCCGCCGTGTCTCTCAGAACTTGTAAGCGAAACCTGTGCGGTGGATGCTAGTCGTCCATCAAAGAAACCTCAGCCTCAGTCCAGGCGACCTCGGGACAGGGCAAGGCAAGCAGAACAAGGCACAGGCTTACAGCCAGACGAGGCTCCGGTGGGTTGAGAGAAGACAGGCATTACGGCGGGTGCCTGGCAACGATGTGTTGATTGAAGTGCATGCGGTTTCCCGTCCACCCGTCGTGCGGTCCGCCTGGTGCCATGCCCTCTCCGTTGCTTCTCTCTTCTGCCCATTCAGCAGCGTGTTGGGGGGCGACTGACTGCATTGCGGCTCAACAATTGAAAAACGAGTGATGCTAAGAACAAATCGGCGGAAACGATCGATCCCGTTATCATTAGCTTCATGCCCGAGGGAGTCGATCCGGCAAGAGGTCGGCTCATCGCCCACCCAAACCCCGAGGCAAGGGAATGTTCAGGTACAATCAAGGTACTCCCGGCCAGCTCTGCGGAGTTTGCGCGTGTAGCAAGCGTGACGCGAGGCGTTATAGCTGGAGAGCTCTTGGTCTGGTAGGTAGGCTGGTAGGTTCCTCGGCAGGTCATCAGCCACGGGCACTCTTCCTGTCCGCTGAACCACGTACCAGTATGCCAGTAGGTATGCCTGCTGCGGGGGAAAAGAAGAGAGGGGCGATGGGTGGAGGAAGCAAGAGAAGTACACCTGGAGACTGCAGTCGTAAGCAGGGCGAGCGACGATGGTGGGACGAGGGAAACAAGTATCGGTGACTTGACCTGTCGGTAGTGCGGATGCAAAGCCACGTCGGTTTACGAGGTGAAAATTGGAACCGGGACCTGATGTTCCTGGCCGAGAACCTATGGGAAGCCACTGAGTGGATTTGAGTG